AACCATGTCTGAATCGTCCTCCTGCGCTGCCAGATGCACTGCAGCATCACCGAAAGAATTTGGCATGTTCGGGTCAGCACCATAGACCAACAAAAGTTCAGCTGCACTGACATCGCGCCTCGTGGTCGCAGTGTGCAAAGGGCTCAGACCGTCAGGGCCAATGAGATTCGGGCTCGCTTTGCTTTGTAAAAGCGTCTTCATAGCTCCAAGTGCCCCCGCTTGGCAGGCGTAGACCAGGAGAGTTGTTCCTGCTGAACATGTTCCATTCGGATCTTGGCCCTGCCGCAACAGCCACTCAACATCAGCGATGGCATTGTGCAGGATGGCATGTGCAAGCTTGTCCCAGAGATTGTTGTGCGTAGTGGTGATGAGAACTTGCACGTTGGAAGGGTACCCAAGATCCTCCCACATCAGGTCCTCTGCAATCTGAAGCCCGTCTTTGAAGAAGGACATAGCTAGAGGCGGATGGCGAAGACGCCGGTGCAGCACCGAGCGAGCTTTCGACACGAAAGTGCCGAAGTCAAAAGTTTCGGCGTCGCATGAAAGCAGTATATTATGAGACAATGCAGATTGGAACGAAATCATGCCACCGCACACATCACTGACTTGCTGCGACACATGGTCACCGCCCAAATCCACCTGGCTTGCACCATCTGACGTGCGAGCTTCTACATGGAAGATTGCCTCGAACTGTTGGCGTACACCGGCCACCTTTCCACAAGAGCTCGGCCCACCAGTTGCCAGCAACTGAAAGATTTTTTCGTAGGGTTCAAAACTGAAATCTGAAAGAGCACAATCCTGTCCGCAATGGCTTTTGTGGTTTTCTTGGAGGCGGCACGTTCCATCTGGGAACACTCTAAACCCAACGAAATGTTCCTTGCGGTATAAGACATATCTGCCAGGAAAGAGATCTTGACCGACGTTTGCCGCAAGGATCGTGTACCTGACATGGAAGAGGACCGAGAAAGATTCAAGCAACAAGAGACACCGAACCAAACAGACTCTTGCAGCCAAGGAGCCCATGTGGCTGCAGCATCCGCTTGCCATCCGCAAGGGCCCAGAAAGGGCCGTCACTGTCATACTGAACCGGCAAGCCAACGGAACGAAACGAGTCGACGAGGCATACATTCGCAAACCGTGTTGGCTCAGATGCTGGCCGCCTTGGAATTTCAACTTAACAAAGAATTTCCACAATATCTTTTCAAGGAACCTCTTCGAACATTTCTCTTGGAAGGATTGCTTTCGAATCCGTTGGCGAATTTCCTAGACATCACTTGGCCCCATGGACTGGCACCCGCTTCAATGCAAGCCGAGCGGCAAAATAGCCCTCGGACGGACTTTGCTAGAAGGTTTCCCGCCAACATTGGACTTCAACAAGTCCGGCCGGGAAGCCATCAAGTTTAAATGCTCTTCAATTGCTTCTTCGAAGTCGTGCCACTCCCAGAGCCGTACTTGTCGCCACCAGCGAGCAAGCTTCTTGTGATAATGCAGGAAAACATTCTGCCAATATCGGTTCTCCCGTAGTCTTTGCCTTTGTCGTCGGCTCAACAGTTGGAGGTTTACCCATGGGTGTGGTTTCTCATACCACGCCATGGGTTCGGAAGCATCCACGACCATGGCGCCATCATGGTCACCTTAAGCACGCCGAGGAAACATGTCAGGCGTCACCGCATACCAACTTACGGAATCCAACTCTGCCACATCAAAGCAGCTATTGTTTGGTCCGTAACGCAGCCAAGCATCCATCTGCACCATTGCCTCAGCCACACGTGCAAGCATGCCAAAGGATGCACGGACTGACTCTCGGTCAAAGGCGTGCGTCATGTGGCAGATTAGCACCACTGATTTTTTTGTCGATCGAAACATAAAGCATGTATAACGCGGTGGCCCCTAGCATCAGAACGTAGCAAAAAGATCAACCCTTCAGAGCAAGGAGCCGGATGCTGGCAGAGGAGTCACATCAGTACCTTAGCAGTGACACACATAATGCTTCATAACGACACAAGCTTTCCGAACGTCACAATAGCATAACCAGAAACAAACATATGTACTGCATCTGCACAACAGCTGAGATGTTCGCTTTGAATGGTATCGAGGTCGTCGTCGTACACGTCAGCCCAGCGAACATTGCGAGGGAAAAAAGACATCATGCTTGGTGTCACAAGATCGGCGGGCGAAAGAAAGACGAAAGAGATCGACAGAGACTTTCTGTGGGGATTGACGTGCTGCCAGCCACAATTTGCGGTTGTGTGGTTTCAATTGCATGCGTCATGTTGTTCCAAGCAAATCTCTTACATCACAAATTTGGATTGCATTCCATGCAGCTTATATGACGTCAAACTTTTTGACATTCGGCACACATTCCACCAGTTCCCATTCAACCGAAAGTCTCCTGACAAGCGAGCTGCTTCTACCTCATGTCCATAAAAGCGGAGCGCCTCAGCACAGACTGCAGTGTTCACAACGTGTGCCCGAATAAGACCAACGCGTGAGATGTAAACTTTCACCTCTCCTCGTCACCTTGCGCCTTTGTACGGACTTATCTATGAGGCATGTGTCACGCGGTCGCCCCCAGCACCACCCCATACATACGAACCACTCGCGGTGGCCCCTAGCACCACCCCATAAATACGGACGACTCGACTCTAGGGCATGTGTCACGCGGTGGCCCCTGGCACCACCCCATACCTACGAACGATTCGACTCTAGGGCATGTGTCACGCGGTGGCCCCTAGCACCACCCCATAAATGCGAACGATGACTCTAGGGCATGTGTGACGCGGTGGCCCCTAGCACCACCCCATAAATGCAAACGATTCGACTCTAGGGCATGTGTCACGCCGTGGCCCCTAGCACCACCCCATAAATACGGACGATTCGACTCTAGGGCATGTGTCACGCGGTGGCCCCTAGCACCACCCCGTGTAGAAGAACGACTCGACTCTAGGGCATGTGTCACGCGGTGGCCCCTAGCACCACCCCGTGTAGAAGAACGACTCGGCTCTAGGGCATGTGTCACGCGGTGGCCCCTAGCACCACCCCATAATGCGAAACTATTCACTCTAGGGCCCAATGTGGTCACGCGGTGGCCCCTATCACCAACCCATAAATACGGACGATTCGACTCCTAAGGCAAGTGTCACCGCGAGTGGCCCCTAGCACCACCCATAATACGAACGATTCCACTCTAGGGCCATGTGTCACGCCGCTGGCCCAAGCACCACCCGCGTTAGAAGAACGACTCGGCTCTAGGGTCATGTGTCACGCGGTGGCCCCTGCACCGCCCCCAGCCAAGCCCCAACCCCCCAAGTGCGCAAACCCCCTTGTCGCCCGCCCTCCTCTGCTCTATGGCATGGGTCCCACTCGTGGCTCCTAGCACCACCACATGCTGGACCTATACAGCATCAGCTTTACAAGGCGATATCCGAAGCTAAAGCCTTCACAGGCCTACGCAATGCCCTGCGCACTATAGGAAACAAGGCAAACCAAGACAGACACATCCAGGACAACGCGGCCGTCCTGTGCTACAGGAGTAGCACGCTCCGCTACCACCAGGCAACCTGGAGCACCTGCTGTGACGCAAGAAGTCGCCCGGCCCACCCCTTCCAGAGTCATCACGCGGCTGACATACAGCATCAGCTTTACAAGGCGATATCCAAAGCTAAAGCCGTCACAGGCCTACATTGACAATGCACTGCGCACCTTTCCAAAGCCTTGTGTAGATCTTGGCTTGTTATATAAGATGTACCGCGCTACTCGCAGGCATCGCAACCGCCAAGACCAAAACAAAACATAGCACACTTCCACACCAGCTACTTTGCACACAACCCATCTTATTGAATCCAAATTGATTTGATCAGTGGTCTTGCTGTGTAAGATGACAAGCTTCTTAGGTGCTGGCTACTCAATAAACCACACTTACATGTAAAACAAGAAGCACATATTACATGCACATGTTTCTCTGCAATGTTTTACGTAAAAGGCAATCCGTTTTGGATCTTTCCGTGCATGCATCAGCGCAGTGAACAGCAAGGCCGACCCAACTAGCGCTTCGCTTCAGGATCCCTGAAACCGGGGAAGCAACAGTTTGGACAACAGACTGGGTGGCGTAACAACAACGCTTTTCCGACTTGAAACGTCCTGACCTAAACCTACCTAAACCTCTGCTTTCTCCTCTTGCACCATTGTTGTCAAGCTTTGGAAACGAATGGGACAAAGCACACAGACACATATACATAATAGATTCATACTTGTCTGTGGGGGTTGACTTTGTATTTGTTCTACTTCTTTCAACCCCTAGCCTACAATCATCATGCCTTCCTCAGGTACGCGCATGCTTATTCAATGGGGTAAGCCATTTACTCCTTTGTCAAAGTAGATGGCTCTGAATCTTGAGTTGAGCCATCTATGTCAAAAAAAATTGGGGGATAGATGGCTCAACTCCCTTTAGAACAGGCCAGTTGAGCCATCTATGTCCCAAAAAAATACATATTTTTTGCAATCTTCTGCGCTGGTTTCTCCCCATGTTTTTTTCTCAACATCAAGCTGTTTTTTTGGGACATAGGTGGGCATTCCCAGCCTGATTTTGGCGAAATGACGGAAGTTGTTTTGAGCCAACAAAGGTCGAGACGCTTTAAAACCCAGTTTTAACAAGTGACCTGAGGAACCGTTTTTGCCCTCAAGAACCGTTCCTCAGGTCACTTGTTAAAATTGGGTTTTAAAGCGTCTCGACCTTTGCTGGCAAAATTCTGTCCACAATCAGTTTTAAAACCTTCAGTGGTTCATTTTTAAGGCGTGCCACTGAATTTTTGAAAGATTTGAATGCGATTTAAGGGACATAGATGGCGCAATTCATTTTTGAACCCATCGAAAAAAGATTCTGGCGTTTGAATGGGATTTAAGGGGCCTAGATGGCGCAACTCATTTTATACAATACAAATTTGTGCAATTCCGCCGTATATACAAGCAAAAATGATAGGAAATGTAGTAAACTTAGTTAACAATACCCTTATGTCCATCTACTGGAGTGGCAGTTGCGCCATCTACCTTTTCATTTTAAAGTAGGGCGATTTTTTCTTCAATTGGCGGACCTTGTTTTATGTTCCAGCTAAAATAGCGCCGTTTTCTTTCTCAACCCGCGGTGCCATCTTATGTGGGTATTTTGGTTTTTGAGTTGAGCCATCTACTTTGACAAAGGTGTATATAGTTTGCTGCCAGACCATGTAACAGCTCCATATTATTTTCTTTCCTCCTCCAATCTTCGGCCGAGCGGCGTCTTTGGCAAAAGAACCATATGTCCCGAGTGCTCGTTCCAGAGATAGAAGGTAGAAGCATCGCGACCTTAGCCGAGAAAACCGAGGAAGGTTGTCATAGTGTGTATCAGTCAATTCACTATCTGATTATCTAAGTAGCGCTTGGACATTGTCCTGCTATATTCTGAGTTACTGAGGTATGGACTTCTATCCATAGAAGGAAACGAGTTATTGGTATACAAGGAAATAAGTTCTTGAGACAAGGAAATTAGTTCTTCATATATGGAAGTTCTGGAGTAAGTCATGCAAGAGCATGAGTTATTCATAGTATATACGTACAAGGACATTAGTTATTCAGACAAGGACATGGGTTCTTCATATACAAGGACACGAGTTATTCATAAAAGGAAAACAGTTATTCATAAAAGAGGTAAGTTATTCATACATGGGAAGTAATTAAAGCACTTATGAAAATCATACGGTTGTATGAGCAACTCACTTGGTCACAAGAGCCGGGGAAAAAAAAAACAGAGCCAGAAATTTGTTGGTTCGGGCTGAAAATGTCTGGACTGAGATTTTAGGAACCACATGAATTACCAATGTTTGGGAATGTTAAGTTTTTAGATATTTGTTCAAACGACAAATGAAAAAGGGTTACTTCATAGTTGTTCATGACCTAAATGAATCCCAATCTTGCGGCCTTTTGGCCTGATGCCTTGTCCACTGCTGTCCCAAGATTATTCCACCAATAGATTCGTGGACGGGGTGGACATTGCGGACAGGGGTGTTGGAATGGATCCTTTGACTTGTACCAAACATGCCCTCACCCAAGAACTTCAGAAACTTGAGGAGTTGGTTCCAGGTAAAATAGATGTTTGTTTTCAACCTGGTCTGTTTTCAAGTGGTGCACAGGGGTTGGACCGACGAATATCATGTTTTCATGAATCCCAAAGGATACTAACAAATACTAACAATATTGTCATGTTTTTGCATTCATATTAGCAAATTAACAAAAACATCAAAGTCGAAATTCCAAATCCTCCAAAATGGCAGGGTCTGAAGTATTCCTTCTGGTCTGAAGGTCTAGAAGAATACCAAGGTGCAAGTTTCAGGTATTGTAGATCCCTGTGGCCAACGTGACGTCAAGGCACGCGATTGGAAAATTCGCCAACCAGGTGGCAAACGAGACATTTCAATCGGTGGTCGTTCTTCCGCCACCTGCAGCACCACACATTTCGACAAAAAGTCGAGGAAGTGTTCTTCCAAATTAGAGACATGAGAGATGATTGGACGCGCATTCGCATCGTTTAGCTGCACTGATGTAGACAATTGCATACTATGTCTTCAGGCACAACTGGTAACTAATAGAAAAACTACAGTCTATACCTGATTCAGCTTCAAGATGTGCATCCCGTGCTAATTGGCAGACATGCGCCTGTGGCCGTGGTGATCTCTCACGTTCCTGTGATGCCAGAACCGGGCTAGGTCATAAACTCGCATGTCATGTTGAAAGCACATCGCGTGCAGAAAACGAAACTGCATGCTTGCTACTCGAATGAAAATGCTCATCCGTGAGCTCGACCTATTCATGCGATTTCTTGCATGCTCCTATTGCATCCCACCACTCAGTATCCAGATACCATATTTCTAGATGGAACAGTCCACTGATAGGGGACTTACGGAAAGAGGTTAATGACCACATAGTAAAACAAGCTCATCCAACACTTCAAGACACACGTCCGAGATGCTTCCTTCTTCTCATCATTCTTCTCATCCTTCCACGAACTTCTCCAATTGCTCCACGCCTGCAGATGGCCGCGGGACATGCATCCCACAGTGATGGCATCTCAACCATGGATCCATCTCAAGACAGTACCCTCCATCAAACATACCTCCGGTTGTGGTCTATCAACGCACCCACACTTACCAAACTTTGAACGAAATTGTTCGGATTCAATGCTCCCAATCTCGCCTGCCACCTTTGGGACCGGCGCTCCCACCGCGTGGACATACCACAAAAATGCGCGAAACTAATTCCTAATTCCCAAAACTTGCAAGCAGCCGAAAAAAATGGCTGCCGGCAGTTGCATTGTCACCCCCAAGGCTTCATGAATCACGCCAAACAATATCAATACAGGACAGTGGAACAAAACTTTTGATAATCGAAGAAGGTCCCAAGCAATCAATCTGAATATATATATATAGATACATTGTATGTGCGTATATATATATATACACATATGAACCGACTCTTGTCAGAAGCCATTATGTCATGCCAAGCAACTGGCGCTTTCTCATCGGACGCAAGTGCTGTGAAGATTGAAGGTGTAAAAGAAACGTCGATATTGGTTCAAGTAGGTGGCGACCCAGGTGAATGGCAAGTGTTGCATTCGGGGTGTGGCTCTCTATTCTCTTTAGACCCGAGGGATCAACATTCAATAGGGAGATGACAGCATCCATTCATACACCTGTAAACCTTGGGTTGAACGTTGCGAGAACCAAGTTGAAGCAGGTTGTTCCTGTGCTGTTGGCATTTGCAATGGGGGCGTGTGAGTGTGTTTTTTTGTAGTACTGTGCTTGTCGCATCAAACATACGTAATGTTTCTGAATGTGTTTCTTCGCACATTTCCATTCCTAGCCCATGATCCATGCTTATTAGAACCTAGACAGTCATTCGTACCACATAATGTGGTGCATGGCCTTTTCGTACTTGATTTTTCCCCAAGTTGGCGAAATGCATTTTTTTTTATCAAAAATTCACGATTTTTCACGCTCAAAAGTTGCTTGAGCCAACTGGGGCTGCTTAGATTTCTTCTCACAGTCCTTGAGCCATCTAGAAGTTACTGTATATATGTTACCTTTTTTTCCTCAGTATCTATGCATTTTTAATACACAGTGCATGACCATTCATTTATATTCTGGAAGATCCCCTTGGGTAGTTTGAATAGCCCTTATTCCCGCTTTGAGTGGCTTGCATCCGCTGAGTCCTAGATCCAGAAACCCAACTATATATATATGTATATATCTACTTATTCTCAATGGAAACTGGTACCCTCATTATATATATATATTATTAGTATTATATGCATATTCCTGTTAAAGTTGTCCATATTTCGGTTTTGCTTTTGCCACAGAGTCTCCAGCTGAATCTTTTTCATCGCATCGTCGCCAGAGCATCTTGCAGCTTTGTGCCAAGCGCTAACAGCCATCGCTGCAACGTGGTGGTGGGCGCCGTACGTCGATGCGTACGTTTTTTCACTTTCATCACTCTTTTAACCCAGTCCTCGTCCATCCACGTGCTAGCAAAATGGGGATTTTGCCTTCCTGGCCTATCCTCTTCTATGAGGTGGGTGAAGCCATGGATTTTTGGCCTCACACGCCAAAGACGCTGATGGTTTTCCACCGCCCTTTGTGCCAGCCGCAGATAACTGCACAGAAAAAGACTTCCAACAACTACCTTTTGGCGTTGTTGTCCATCTGCGAGGAACATGTCTGAGTGGGACAACATCTGAAGCCATTTGTTTGCACTCCAGAGGCTTGTGCACATCTCATCCAGCATCATCTGAGTTGCTGGATCACGACTAGTCGGGGGCCTTTGACCCACCTCCTCCACCAGCCACGCGAGCAAGATGAAAGTATCAAAGCCTTTGCACTTCACTTCGGGGTAGGAATCGGAGGCCCATGTCAAGTTCTGCTTGGTGAGCTTGCGGAGGGTCAAGCTGTAGCCACGGTTCTTTGCAAATCTTTTCAGAGACGCTGTCGCTCGGCCCAGTGAAATTTCAATGGAGGATCCCTCGAAGTATCGCATTTTCACCAAAACTTTGAGAGATGAGCCCACCAGGTCTCTTCCAGTTCCAAGATGAAATAGATGTAAGATATCAGCAGCCAGCATATACACATGAAAACCCCTGCAGTTGGCAAATTCCGGAGTTTGGGACCATGGAAGATTTTGCCACATAGAAGCACGCCAAGAAGCATCATCTCGTAAGTTTGTGTAGCAGGCATCCAAATCAGCGCTTCCCTTCGTAGCCTCGCATTTCCAGCAGACCTGCCAATCGACATGGATAAATAAAAACATTTGACACACACACAGAAATATATATCTATATATATATATATTTATTTATTTATTTAGAATGTTTAAAATTTGGGGAAACTCCTGGATTGTACATATCCTAGGCATGGGAAAACCTGTTACACTAGGGGAACCACAGGTACGTTTGAATAAGTTATCTTCAACAACAAGAGGTTGCACTCTTCAGCCCACATGGAGCATCATCCACATCCATGTATGCCCTGTCCCTCAGAATTGCCTTCTCGGTCGAGGGGTGCCTCTCCAGGTTAAAGAGCTGCTTGAGATATTTCCAATCGCCCTTGAAGTTCATCACAAAGAAATGAAGTGTAGCACGGTGATCCTGATATTGCACAGCTGATGCCAAGCAACAAATATATTGATCTTGTGGGAACTTTATAGTATGAAAAGTGGGTGATAAAGTCAAGATTCTGCCACATCATCGTAGCCAGGAATGGGCACCCCGCTGTCAGACAATCTGTTCAGTGAATCACATATGACTCTTGCAGCAGCTTGAAGCGTCACATTTATTGCCCCATCATAGACCTGGTTGCTCAACAGTTTCCACCTTTTTATTTGATTTTTGGTGGCAACTGAATGGGAAAATGATCACTTAATTGTAGATATGCTGCTGCACACGCAGCCTTGCTATAATCCCTGCATCAAATAAACCCATGCATACACACCCCACAAGAAAAATATGCCCTGTCACCAAGGCACATAAAAGCTGGAAGGGATGGTTGTGATCAAGAATCGGCTGGCACCAGCATTTTTGATAAATGGGGATAGATCGCTCTGAAAATGAAAAGCCATGTAAGTTCCTCCCAGGGCTTGCCCCTCATCACCTCGCATATGACTGAAATATGCCCAAAGAGGGTAATATGTCCCCTTAACGCCAAACTGCTAAGTTCTATTCATCTCCTGGCTGCTTATCAACAATATGGTCAATGTGTCCATTTAAAAAATGGTGGGGGTCCCGATATAAGGAAACATCCAACCAAGACACCATAGATACTGATAGGCGCAGCTGAACGAATCATAGATGCTGCAGGATGGCCAGGGTACTCCTTTAGCATATTTGTCCAGTAAGCTTCCAGCTTGTCCAGTTGTACCAACAGCTTCAAGAAACCATTTTTCAGCATTGCTCTGACCTTAAGATTGGAAGAAAAGTGCAATATGCAAGCCATGATAATTCCACAAGTTTATTTCCACGGAAAGCTACTTGACTTTTTTGTTTTTTTGAACATCGATACATAGCCCAGTAGCCAAAGTGTAGGGCATCACGAAAGGCCACTCCACCAGCTCAATAATGGGTGCTCCTTCATCAGTATGCCCAGTGCACACAGGAATCGCCCGGTATTCCAGCTGGCAATCAAGGCCAAATTGATGCCGCAATGCTGCAGCATGGACGCGTTGTTCGCTCTGATCTGGCCTGGGACCAGCAAGGGGACAGGGTATGTGGGAATGTATATATATTATATGTGTACATATGTATATGTTTGTTATCTTGCAAAGGATGTATATGGGTAAAATATGTCAATATGTGTGATAAACATGTGTATATATGATGTATTTGTAAGGCTGTTTAGATATGCAAGGCATATCAATGCATGATATTTAGCTGATATAAAGTGCAGCCACGTTGCTGGTTGAAGATATCCTGAGGCAGCCGCGAGAGAGAGAGAGATATATGTATATGTATATATGAAAGTGTGTATATATATATATAAGTATATATATATATGTATAAGTATAGATATGTATATAAGTACATATACATATATGTATAAGTATATATATGTATATAAGTACATATATATATAATCATAATCTTTAATATTTATACATATATATATATATGCATTGATTTATTTACTTGTAAATACCGAGAGTCTTAAGAAAAAGGATACCTGGGCACACATATCCCATACAGAGCTTATAACCACCAAATTTGAGTCACAATATCTTAAATGCAAGCGAGCATCGCTACCCAGAATGCTGCCAATTTCGCACGCATGCTTGACAGTGGCATTCCCTGTGCCAACTCCAGAGGCCAGCCTACAAGCAGGCAGGAAATATAGATCAATAAATATATCAGGGGAGCCAGAGAGCACCACACAATTTGCAGCACCAATCATAAATGTTTGCCAAGTGGCACTGATTCCACCTGACACACGTTCCGATCGCCAGGATGTTGGGATTTCGTCAGCACCTGCGAGGGGTCAGAGCGCTCAACCCCATGGCACACGATGCATGCTCAAAGTACACAATGCATGACTGGGAATGGAACGGGTTGCTATCAATAAATAGTGATTTGCCTATACTCAAATAAGATTGAAATCAAATGGTTTTGGCACTTCCCAAGATTTGGACAACTAGGCCATGCATGCATTTTTCCATCGCCGCAACGTGTGTGGGTATCGCCACACATCCATCAAGATCTGATTGCCGCACGCCGCAATCTGGGTCTTTACCCACAGATCCATATATATGGTGCATGCCCTGCCAAAGAACTCCCACGATTTAAGGACTCAAAAATGTGTTTTTTAATTGTGTTGAAGTTTTGTTTTTTAAATTGTGTTGAAGTTTTTTCCATGGGTAAATGACTCAGGAGTTTCGCTAGCAAGGTTCTAAGCACCAACCCCACGGAAATTGGTTGAAAAATCGGCATCCACATGGCACTCTCAGGATTGTTTTTTGATCTCGGCCAACACTGCACGCGCCTGCGCCTTGACGAGGCGCATGCTCTTCACCTGTCAGGGTTGCTCTGGCTTAAGATTGGTGCCACAAAATTTGAACTGAGGGAAGAATTCAGTGTTTCCATATGTACAAACCTGATTTGATTATATTTGATTTTAGGTTTGAAAAATGGAAGGCATGTGTGGCAAGATTGGGATATCAGCTCGGAGCTGCATGGCCTCATTGTCCAACTCATCCTTCAAATCAGCCAAATTGGCATCAGTGGTGATGCCTTTCAACCTCAGGGCAATTGATGATACTAACAGGGACAATGACGTATTCTTCATGACATCATGGATCCCAAGTATAAAATCCAAGAAACTCATCGATCGCATCTTCAAACCGGGTTTTGTACTCACCCAGGGTCTTGCGAAGCCCATTCGATTGCGGAAGCTCCAGGCTGAGATTCGTGATGGCATTCACCTCCTTCTTCAAAGAGGAACCTCACGTGACAAGATATGCCATACAAGGACCAGAAAATCTAGATTCGGGCCAAGGACCAGCACACCATAATCACCATATAATGTTGGCAATTGTTGTCAATTCAAGATCCAAATGCTGAGGGCAAGACTCATCTCTGCCTTCCTTTCATCAATGGTCTTCGCCGTCACCTCTGCCACTGCTCCAGCCGCAGCTTTGGGCTTCGCCTTGGCCTTGTTCTTTGCCTTCGCTTTGGGCGCCAGGGTCTGTCCTGCAATATGGATGTGGTGCAGAACAAGGAGAAATCATTATACAAGGGGGGTACCAGTAGACCTATATAATATATTTTGGAAAGTTACAACAGAAAGCGGGTAGAATTGGAAATCCAGACGCCTACGAACACCGACTCCTGAAATCACATTTTGCGATAGCTATCTATATATATATATATACATATACAATGAGTTTAAAATTGTCTGTTTGGAAATATGGGGAATTGTACAACCAACTATAGACAACCACATATGAAAATATGAATAGAAAAAACTCGAAAAAAACATGTGGAGTCCTGGATTGGCAGCCTGCTGCAAAGACTGCATGATTTGTTCCATGCTGTCACCTGACAAGTGGGATCGCCGACCTGTAGCTCCCGGTCCCGTCATGAGCGAGTCCACGGCATCAGCGGAAGCTGCAGATTGGATGGTCATGGTGGTCTGCTGCCTGACCTCCTCATTCTCATTCAAAGTAGTCGATGTGTTGCACCAATATCGGCGGAGCTCTTCTGCGTCCGGGCAATCTTCATCTTCTATATACTCTCCACGGCTCAAAATTGCCCTGATCTTCTTGTCCGGCCATTTTTTGTCCTCCCTCATTTGCTTGACTGTGAGTAATTCCCTTTGCGTCCCCAAGTTGCTCGACTTGCTTCTCTGGAGCACGATCTGGGCTTCGATGGAACCAGCATCGCCATTTTTCAGCACCCAGTCCCGCAGGAGCTGCTTCTGCCCTTCACGTCCAGACTGCCAGAGCTTGTGCATGTGGGGGAACTGCTCAGCTCCATGGGCACTCTCCTCCATGAGGCGTTTCAATCTCATGCCTTCTTTTTTGTGAGTGGTCCAATCTATGCGGAGTGTGCCCACATCAGCGGCTGCAGCAGGCACAGCCACAGTTGCTGCAGGCAAAGCACTGGCTGCAGGCATCGCCACCGGAGCTGCTTCAGCCAAAGTAGTTGCTGCAGGGATAGCCACCTCAGCAGTTGCAGGCATAGCCACCGTAGTTGCAGGCAAAGCTGGAGTTGCTGCAGGGATAGCCACCTCAGCAGTTGCAGGCATAGCCACCGTAGTTGCAGGCAAAGCCGGAGTTGCTGCAGGGATAGCCACCTCAGCTGCTGCTGGCATAGCCACCGTAGTTGCAGGCAAAGCTGGAGTTGCTGCAGGGATAGCCACCTCAGCTGCTGCCGGCATAGCCACCGTGATCTCTGCAGGCAAGGCCATCTCAGTTGCTGCAGGCATATCCACCGAAGTTGGAGTTGCTGCAGGGATAGCCACCTCGGCTGTTGCATGCTTAGCCGCAGTCACTGCAGGCAAAGCCACCTCAGTTGCTGCCGGCACAGCCACCGTAGTTGGTGCAGAAGCCACCGGAGTTGCTGCAGGCGCAGCCACCTCATCTGCTGCAGGCGTAGCCACCGTAGTTGCTGCAGGCAATGTTGCTGCTGCAGGCAAAGCTCCCGGAGGTGGCGTCATGGGAATGGACAGAGCTGGCACGGGTGCTTCACATCTGACCACCGGGTCTTCAGTCGCAGGAATGGGTCCAAGCTTCCAACCCCGGGCAATTGCAAGAGAGGCGTGCTTTTCCTTCACCGATTTCACCCACTGATCACCTTCCCGCTTGTACTGGTAGAACTCAGTTTCCCAAGGTGGGCCCAAGCTCATGGTGGATGCCAAACTTTGAAGTTCATGGTCATCAAGGGCTTCACCATCAACGGCAGGATCATTCGGTGGCAAGCTCTGCTTGTCAGGCTCAGCAGGTGCCTTCGCAACATTGCCATCGCCACCAGGATGCTGATCAGACATCGGCGCAGCTTTGGCACCCCCATCGTCACCAGCAGGAGAGACCTGTTGATCTTCAGGCTGGCCTTGAGCATCCTGAGGCACAGAATCAAGGTCTCCAGGAATGGTATCTGGCAACGTTGGTTCGGGCACGGTGTCCGCCACATCCTGCAAGGCAATGTCGAAAATCAAGCTAGCAATTTCAATTTGTTTATTTCCAGAAACACGGGGTGATAGGATTGAAAAAGTATCTGGATGTAATATATATATATATATACATAATACAATATAACATAAATAGTATGTTGTATTATAAAATAATTATGTAATATTAATATATATATATTATATAAGTGTAGATAGGGCATATAATGTGTGCTATATGCAATCCCAGGATCCAAATGAGATGCACGGCGAAGGGAGCCAGGAGAACTAGGAGCATTTGCTCGGACCTGGGTATCCTCCAACTTCTTGATGTAAGCCAAGGCAGCCGCCAATTGCCCTTGGAGATCACCGGGTTGGCTTTGACCAAGCCTCGAGGCTGATCAGAATGCACTGTATATAGAAACAGGATTGATCATATGCGACATATGCACGTATAGATATAAGCAATCGATCCAACTATATCTATCTTAAGAAGCCCCATTGACATCATACAGTGGGAAGCCCGTTCAAACAGTTGCATGCATGTAGGATCCATGTACATGCACTCGCATGAGGTCAAGAATTTGGATACATACATATATATATATATGCTGAATAAAAAGATCCGGTTGGTTGAAAGCATGAGATTTGATTATGCTTGACCCCGCCCAACCCAAGCACCACAGATTATTAACCAAGGCTCTGGATGGTGGTTGCCGTCGACAGCGAATCAAAATCTTTGTCCAGGTTCTTGGCTGTCTTGGCTGGGCCCTGCGCAGTCACAAAGTCAATCGCCCGTTGAAGGGTTCCACATGACCTTGGGCTCTGGTGTTGCCCTTTTTGGCCCCCAAAAAACACCCCTAATTTTAGGGTACTTTTTGGGATGGTTTTTGTTTCCCCAAATGTTTGCTTTAAAGAGGAGAAAAGGGCACCTCAATTTGAGACATACCCATATTATATATAATTATATTGCGGGCCGCAAATCAGAATATGACCATCAGAATTGCAACAAAAAAGAAAAATAAATTAACCCGACCCATACTTAATTGAAATGTATTGTGTATTTGAATATGTTTTGTGGTCCATGTAAAACTATAGGACAACATAGGTTGGAGATTGGTGTTTGCCCTGAATTGAACAAATTTCGATTTTGTTTTGCAGTCAAAAGGCCCCACAGACTCCTGAGACTCAGTAGCAGCAGGAGGGCTGACGACCGTAGGCGCAGGTGGCTCCAATTTGGTGTGCTTTGCATCCCTGCTCGGGGTCTTGAGGGTGGAGCCATCAAAGTTCACAGCTTCCAACGTTGAGGTCACAGAAGGTTTGCGTTTCCTGGTCACCACACCATCTGCAGCTGGGGATCCCACATCTTCGGGCTCATCCTCCAACTCCACCTCAAGATCTTCAGGGATCGCTTCCATGGGCACGGTGTCCTTCTTCTCCTTCTTCTCTTTGTTTTTCTTCTTCCCGGGGCCCTTTGAGGAATTCGAAGGCTCCTTCAACTTCTCGGTGTTCTTCACCTTCTTTGACTTGCTCTTGGCACTGCTCGATGGCTGTGCCTTCTTCCCCTTCGACTTGGGCGTGGGAGACTTGGGAGAGGCCTTTGACTTTGCTGCCCGTGGCTTCGTCTTAGCAGCATTCTGCGCCTTAAGATAAGCAGGCGTCACATCAACACACCTCATCCCATCATAATCATCTTCTGGAAGGTCCTTCTTGTCCACTGGTTCAGATTCAGCAGCCGATTTGGTTGCTCGAGGCTTTTTCGGCTTCTTCTCCGCAGCAGCATCCTCAGACATGGGCGAATGGCTGTGGAAAAGGTTTGGAAAAACAACAAACATCGATATATACAAATATATATATATAATATAATATATATATATTACAAATATATTATGCCCTAAGGACCCCACTATTAGCATGCATTTGTTTGCATAAATACGGATTGATGGATTTTTTGCGGAGGCCACGATATAATATGACCAAGTGGCTGTCAAAGGCCCTGGAGGTGGACCAAGCACATGACACATGATCGTCAAGCATTCCGCCTTCGAAACTTTCAAGTGCTTCTTGACCAGGTCAAACTTCTCCCATGTCAGCTCGGAGATGGGAAAGGGCAGATTGCACAAGGGAGATGCCATGGTCACCCGTTTCAAAATCCACCTAAATTGTGCTTAAATGCCGGCAGGCACAAACATGTACGATTTCAACGGAACTGCAGTAATATTTGTCCCTGTGAAGTTCACGTTCACGCCATTCACGGCATGTTCAAAAATTCCACTCAAATGTGCTGATTTTCCGTTCACGAAATTCACGGAGTTTTCACGCTCATCACCTACTTTTTCACGGCCTTTTCACGATTTTTCACGGTAGCAGCGTTCACTGCCAGATGCAGTTGCAACATGATCTACATGGCAGCAATGTGAAATCGCACACTCTGCCTTTAATTTCATCAAAGTTCAGTTGAGAACCTTTCAAAAGCCTTTCAGGCTATGCTTCAAGTCAAGTCTCTCAAAAATTTCGGCCTGAGCTGCCAGGGAAATGGGCCACCATAACACAGTGAACTATACCTGATCTTTTCACGACACTTAAACTATATAGGTCCCTGACCCATCGCCCACGTGGTTGGAAATGTCGGCATCCAGCAAGATATCGGAGGGCCAATGGAAGCTTCGCCTCATGCGAGGCTCGACAGATCGATGGTAGCTAGGTGGGTGCATTTGCACTGCTGTTCATTTTCCCATTGGATTGACACTTCGAAAGGGGTTAAGAAGGGCGACTTTTTGCGTCCAAAAATGGTCCCAAAAACAAAGAAAAAAGGCGCACCCCAAAATCCCAAACCAAAGGGAAAATTACCAAGCACTGCAACAGATATGGTTGCAAACAAGTTACATCCAGCCAAAGGTCTCCGAGGCAATTCACAGAAGGCGCAATGGGGCAGAAGAAACGAGTGAATAGCTCTGCATCTCCAAGCTTCCAGTCAAAGTCCATGGGATCTCTGGGCCCAGGTAATGGTTCCTCGACAAATTATAAGGCTGATAAAGGGCAAATAATGGCAAATAGTAATATTGCAATTGTCTTGTATTATACCTAATTTATGCATACATATATGTTGGTATAATTATATATATATATATCTATCTATCTATCTATACTGCACACACACACAACCAGGCGAAATCCATCAAGAGATCAAGAGCAATTGAGCCATCTCTCCTGCAGCGGGGTCGTTGCCACATCTGCGATGCATTTGCCAAAGTCAGCAGTGTAAGACCTTGGCTCTACACACATCAACTTGAAAAAATGAGCTTTAAATTTAACACTGGGTGTACGAGCAAAAATCTGTCACAGCCAAGGCACTGGCTGCTTTTAAGTTTAGCTGCAATCCCAGCATGCCGGCGACGACCTTTCTTGTCGATGTATTTGCGAACAAGCCCATCCGCAGATCCAGGCAGGGAGCGAAGGGCTTCCCTTGAAAGATGCCCACCTGACACTTCAGTTGCAAGATGGCAAAGAAACAATAAGTGAAGAAAAAATATGTGGACTCATGCACTGCAATTGGATAGACAGATTCAAGTGTGTTCGCCTCTTCTGACCACTTCCTTCAACAACTCCTTGCAGTTGGACCACAACCTGTGTCTCTTCGCTGTAGCACCATTAAATGCACCCATCCAGAACGATCCAGAGAACACCTGATTCAAGACAAATGTGGGCCATATATGTATACCCGGTCAAAAAGTGGCTCACAAGTTTAAGGTGTCAAAAATTGTTTCAAAATAAAAGACGGCCAGGTAACAACAGCACATGCGAAGATCTCTTGCATCCTGGGGTGATTTGGAAGTGAGCTTCCTTCAGGCTGCTCAACCACAAATCGAATGGAGCGAGCAAGGCAGATCCAAAGTATCAGTGCCACTCGCGAGCACAGCAAGTTCCCTGTCGCCACGAAGGAGTAGCCCTGGTTCCCCAGGAAGGAGTTAAAGCAGTCCCGGCCGGCTGTGCGACTCGACCTGGGTCAAAATTTTAAAGCAGGATGCACACACATAGACATTGATATAGTATATAATATAATGTATATTGTTGCACAGCTGCTTTTGGTGAATGGTCCATTGTCCATCCAAATATATGGAACCAAGCCACATCCTGGTAAAGGAGTTGCAGCAAATCCCAATGAGACATATGCCACCAGGTTTTGTGTTCCAAACTTCTCGGCACACCAGCCTCACGCAGCTAGGTAAGACGCACACCATGCATATGGCACACCCGTGCATTCTGAACAAATCATAGTTTGTGAAATTGTTCCTTGAAAAAATCCAACATGATATTCCAGATAAGAAGCAGGAACCCATGGGTGGTGGTCATATCCATCAGGGACGTGTAAGCAATGTCATGGCAGCTTCCAACCATACCACGGTCCCAGCATGCCAAAGTCACCGCAGCATCCCCAGAAAAAATCTCCACAAAGTCATTGGGCACGAGGGCTGGAGGTGCGACAAGGGCAGGGTTCTGCGAAAGCGCCACCAACAGCAGCATGAGAGATGCTGGGGCTCTCCAACGAAGAAGCTCGGCAACCACCATCGCTCAGACAGCCAGCACACAGCTGCAGCCAGCTAGGTTGCTATAGAGCCACTCACGCCACTCACATTATATATACATAGCAAACACATCAGATCCCCTTGGTTTTGAAACTGCCAATGAGTCTCCCAATTTTTGATTGTTCACAGCATGCGGTGACCCACACACCTCAGATCTTGACAGCCCTGGCTTTTTTCCACTAAAGCGCCAGCGCACACATCATCAAGATGGGCCATTAAGAACCACCTTCCATATGTGTGAAGGTCGTGAATTTCACCCTCCGAATTGAGACAGCTAATTGAAAATTGTCCTTTGGGTTCATGGAAGCCACCCTGATGAATCACAGCTTCTTGCCATGCAGTGCAGAGAGATATGTGGATACACAATCCAAATAATATATATATATATATCAATAATAAATGTATGTCATATACATATTGTATGATTTAAAGCAAAGAGGTAGCTATGTACAAATATACCTCAGGATGCCCATGGGTTTGCTTCACATTCCTTTGGGACAAACCTGCGCCGCTTCAGCTCAGACAATTCTACACAAGAAAGAAGGCGGCGCTTCAAGTCACTACTGTTCCACTCAGCGTTGGCATCTTGCCAAGTCATGCCACCCGACCTTTTGGCGTCTATGAATTTTTTCCTAAGCTCTGCATACCGGGTAGGGGAGTAGGTCTCATCCTCGGCTGCTGGCTTGATCTCGGTGTCGGTTGGATGCTCATCCTGTTTAGGATCCTTGGCTGCATGCTTGATCTGAGCAGGAGGACGTTTTTTGGCATTCTTCTTCCTCTTGTGCAATTTCTTGGTGGGCTTCTCATTGGGCGTGTCACGTTCCCCATCATCTGCATCTTCTATGGAGTTCTTGTATTGGGCACTTTGAGGGAAAGGCTTTGGTAGCGAAGCAGCCTGGGCCTCCATGACTTTCAGCACCTCAGGATGAGAAAAAAGGGGTGAACATGTCGCACATAGAAATATATCCAGCATTCGTGTGTAAAAGATCAAACATTATACAAATGCTCTGTGGGCAATGGAAGTTCAGAAAAACGGAGACGAGAGCCACAAAAGCACATGCAGCTAAGTCACATGGTCAGGGAGTTGTCCTGGCACTAGTGCAGATTCTTTCACGGAATTCCCTTTGGCCTCATCCATTGCTTTCTTTAACTCCTCAGCCAAAGACTTCACATGGTTTTCACGTTGTTTGACCGGGGTTTGCAAAGAATCCCAATCTGCCATTTGCAGCTTGATGTTCTTCAGCCGCTGGTCACCTTTGCATTGAGGGGTAACCAGATTGCTGGAGCTTGCAGGGGCGCTCAGCTCAGACAGCGTGTCAGATGCAGCCACCGCATCCTCTTCCTGGGATTCATCATCGATATCATCGGGATGCTTCCATGACAAGTCCTCAGGAAAGCCCAAGTATCAAAATCCAATAGATCGAGTTTCACACACAGACAAACACACAATATCACAGATGTATGCAACCAAGCATCAATGATGCATCGCAGTCGGTCCTTAAGACTCTGTGTTTTCGGCTGCTGTGCCCCCTTGGATCGCTGGGCCAAACGCCGAAACCTGCTGACCTTAGAGCCAGATTGAAGGGAACGGATATAACATATTGAGAACAACATAGGAAGGGAAAAATTATAAGGCATACCTATGCATAGCTATGCATATATACATATATACCTATGCATAGTAACAATACACTTATATGTGGTTATGTATATGTATATATGTTTTTTTAGTAGGCCCCAAAAAAGATTGATCCACAGAAAAGATCGAGAAATATCGAGAATCACTTAAAGAAACAATCTTCAGGAAAGTTATCTATCGCACCCAAGGAGCAAGTCGTTGAAGGGCAAGCCCCGATTTAAGGCTCCATGCATCCACACAGGCCATAGCTCTGACAATTCCAGTGGGCCACAGACGGTGATGCTCATAGAAGGTCAAGATGCACTCCTTGAGAACATGGCTGGAAAACCTGCCACGGCCACGAGTCACAAGCATGACTGCTTCTATTGCCTGCAGGGTCCAAGTGCAAGGAGAAGTTGATGACCCCTTGTAGCTTTGTTTTGAAGGTTCCTTTTTCAACTGTTTCGGGTCCCCATATTCAAGGTGAAAAAGGACCCAAAATAGTCTGTAGATCAACCACATGGTTCTTAAAAGCATGACAATATACAGAGATTTTACCCACAGTTTCTGCGGCCTCAATATTTCCTTCGACGTCCTTTAAGGAAGGCTTTTTCGCTGTGAACAGCCGTCCCGAGCAGTCTATCAAAAAGGAAAAGCCTCGCTGCCGCAACTCCGGAAATCTGCCAAACTGATCCAAATACCCCTGAATGAGGCCAGGGCATGGCTTCGACGAAGGCATTGCCCAAACTCTGCAATTTAAAAATAGGCAAGTGTTTCAATAGTTCCCGATGGAGTCCATACCCACAGTAACTCACTGTATCCTTTTTCCCCTTCAAAAGCAAGGTATATATATATATATATATATATCCATCGGTAAGTATAATACATATATATATATATCTCTCTCTCTCTTGATTCATTTTATTTATATATATGTTATATTATGTGGAAACATTGCCAGATATATTTGATTATCCATGCATTTCAACCTATACATGCCCACCCAGAGCCCAAATGGCTGCAACGAAGGCTGCCATGTTGCAACGCAGCATGTGCGCACGATTGACCAGGCAGCTGCAGGGCATGGGGACGGCACCTTGCTTCACCTGCCATAGTCGCATTGCCTCAGATTCAGGCACGCTAGAACATATCTTGAATCCACAACATGGAGCTCACACAGTGTGACAAAAATCAGCAAGCCAGCTGAAACAACACACCCAAGATCACCCAAGCCTGACACAAATTAAGACGAAATTAAGACGAGGCACAGGTCAAGAATAGATCGAGGGGGCCATATATGACACCTGCGCAATCAAGGAAATCAAACATGCACACATATCGATGCAATCACACAGATACTGCATATGCAAGTCAATCTTGAACAAGGGTCCCATATTAGAGACACGCCTCACCAAACAGAATTTGCCCAGAGCCGTGATGTCGAAGTTCAGGATGAAGCACCTGTCCGAAGATGTCGCATGAAATCAATGGCACATACATATCAAAAGCCAATCACAGAAATCTGTTCATACGTAAATGCAATATTGTACACCCGGGCCTGTATTGCGGCTGATCCTCATTGAACGATGATGTCGAACTCCACCACAGCACCTGCATCATGCACACAGATATTTGTATACACAAAAAAAAATCACAGATCAAAGCTCTCTGAAAAGTGTTGGTTCGCATCAGAGAAAGTGTCTAATCCACATGCCAATCTTTTTTTTCTCCACCTCACACCGATCTGCGCATGCAGTCCTAGCTGTGCGGTTTCTAGGCTGCAGCTACTGCTGATTTCTGGAATTTAAGATTAAAATGGATGTTTGACTGAAGATGTTCCCTTAGATATTTTCTGGGTAGGTATCTTGAGATAATTCGGATAATTTATATAATTATAATTCACATGATTTCAGATGTTAAATTCCAGATCTGCAATCCTCAACGCAATGACTTTTTCTTATAGCTCAATGTCTTCAAATTGACCATTATTTTTTTGCCATATATGCAGGGGCCCTTTCCTAGACGTGTGATCCTTTGTGTTTTTTTCACTTCAAAGCCAGTGCGCTGATATCCATCTCTGCGTTCTGATCTCAAAATTTTATATCCAGATGATACATCAGGCACTTATGGCCCGCTCGCAGCAGATCCTCCATCAGCAGGCGTGCCATCATCGGGGATTGCCTCCAGGGAAGGCTGCGCCACATTCTTAAACTGGCCAGGCACTGTGTTGATGTCGATCAGGCGTTGCATGTGTGCGACCTGCAGCGGGCAGCGGGCAGGGTTCAGTTCCAAAAACAAATCAAAACCAAACATGTTTGGTGGCAATATCAATGGGGGGGTAATTCATTTGTGGTATGTTAGCATGCATGGAAACCTTCAGAATACGCAACATCTACAAAATATTGATCACTGATGCATATCCCAGGATCCACTGCAGACCCATGGAGCCGAAACGCTTCATAGCGCAAGCGGTTGATGCGCCCACGATTGGTATTCTCCATGCACACCTGCTTGTACTGCTCCCGAAGCACAAAGTCCGGATGCCCATCTCAGAGCAAGTGCGTGGAAATCACCAGAAACAATGTGATGACATTTCACAACTATAATGCTGAACTTCCATCTGATGCTAAAATTCCAGGTGCAAAAAAACCTTAAATTTAGCCCAGGCACTTTTCAGGATCAGCTGCTGCTCCTCCTCATCCATCGTCGTTTCGTACTTCCAGACTTAGTTTGAGAAAGAAATGGATGAGAATGGCATGTACTGCAACCTTCTATGCAATGCATAACGAATGCTGGGAAAATATATAAGCCAAGCAGCTCCTGGGTGTGACCGGTGACTCAGCTTGGACAAATGGAATCGGATCTCCATCATCATCCTCGGGCTGATCAAAGCCTGTCTCCAAGATCTTCTGGAATCGCTCCCTGTCGATCGGACCATCGCCAGCTAAGCGTCCTTAGATTTCAAGATATGTCATGGGCGTTGCAAATCAGAATGCGTCATATTGCATTTTCCAAGGCGAGTCTGGCCCCTTAGGTGCACAAGGGAAATGATATTGTTGAAAATAAATATGTCACAAAGAAATGGGATATCATTGCACATGCATGCAAGAAGCTGGCTCCACCTGACGGTAGACGCAACGTTGTTCGTCCACCATGGTCCTTCGGGTTCACCGCATACTGGAATCTGAAGGCTTCGGGGATCTGAACGTTTCCAATTGTGCGCGGGGTACCGTAGGGTCTCTTTTCCATCTCCTGGGATATGCAAGTAAAACGAATCAAAAATCACTATAGTTCTATATAACCGGTTGCACACCAAGAAAAAGTTTTTTTAATAAAGCCCCAAGATTCGGGAAACCCCCATCTTTCAGGGATGTCCTGCAAGCTGCCATGCTCCATGTCCCAGGGCGACTTCGCATGTGCAGCAGAAGCCTTCTCCTTGGAAGACACCGGTGGACATGGGGTGAAAGATATGTTTGGGTACCAATAGGTGTTTCTTCTTTGTTATTGTTTAATGGGGATTAATGTATATATATATATATATATATATCTATTTATACTGATTTCAGTATCAACCCTATTTGTTGGAGCTAAGTGTGAAGAATACATATGCTTAAAAATAAAAGAAGTGATAAATATGTATCTACACATGTATATGTATTTATATATATAATACATATATATATATATATATATACATTTATATAAAAAAATAATAAAACATATACACAGATATAATAAAAAGGAAACTCATATCATGGCACAGGACATGCAATGCAAAGAATCTCAAAACATATCCCTTTAGGAAAATGCTGTTTGAAAACAAAAAAAACATGCTGCTCAGGAACTGAATTGTTTGTTTCCAAGTGTCACCCACACGAGCTGACTTCACTGGCCGTCGGCCTCCGATTGGGCCGGGGCTGCGAGGCCGCCGTACAGCTCGGGAAGCAGCGGCTGATGCTGATGGAACTTCTGGTTCAACCGTCTCCACCAACACATCTTCCATCTCCCCATCATCCCACATTTCACCCTGCTCCGACATGGCTGCATATGCCATAAGATCCTTTCGAGCCCGAAAGATCTGCGATGGCTTCACAGTGCAGGTATAGTGGATCAATTGGTTGGCCACCCCCTGCAGTTCCGATCAATGCTGAAATAGCAAATTTGTTTTTTTATGGTCCATATTTCATGTAGTTCCAATACAGGTATATCTATATATGTACCTATTCTATAAATATAGTTTGAAAATGTACCTATTCTATCTATTTATCTGTCTGTCTATCTATGTATCTATCTAAATCTAAATTGAATAAATGAAAATTTAAATAGATATATACATATATATGTATTGATTTATTTATGTAAAAATTCCCCCAACAGGTTTATATATATATATGGGTCTTTCCCATGGTTTCCCATTCAAGCAACAGTACCTTTGTATACTGTAACCCCCTATAATGTTTGTAAATCCGGCCCGCGCAGAATGGAGCAGCATGCACCTCATCCAACTGCCGGGGAAAGCATGCCATCCCAAAGAAGATCCTGAAGTGATCATGAAGTGGTGGGATACTGTGTTTCTGTTTATATATATATATACTTGGAGATGATTAAACATATATGAGTGTCTTTTCATAGCATGTGATGGAACAATTCTAAGGTTTCCCATGTGGTTTCACCCAGTGAGAACATGTTGCTATTGCAGTGGATGTTGGGTTCAAATACTGCCAACAATTTGATTGTGAGAGTGATATCTGGTTTTGAAATGTTTTGAATGGTTTTGATATTCTCTATTATTATCTACTATAGTTGCCATTGCTAGCTGAGCCACTGGAGAATGGCAAGGCGCGACGAGTCGATCCAGGCCCGTGCAATGCTATATCCCTTGAATTCAATATATATATATATTTACATACTGTTGATTACACGTCACCTACAATATATTTTGCAGTTGTTTTTTGAATTGTTTTCAAGAACCTAGACCTGCATAAATATATTTTGAATATATATATATATGTGTGTGTGTGTGCGTGTTACGTACGTACATCGAAATAGAAATGCATATCCACGAGAAAAATATATACATTGAAGGATTCTTGAATGAGAAACTTCCGTTCACATGTGCACGTTTGAATAGTGCAGCAATATCGGTGAAACAGATTGCAAAAACACATCTCAAGTCTAGATTTGCACTCTATCAGTCTGGGTGGGCGGGCTGGGTTTCTATCAAAATTATAGGATCGAAGAACTTTTTGTGACATCTCAAAATTCACGATTTTTCACGCTCATTTGGGGCCAAAGATTTTTCAGGTACAAATGGCCAATGACCCACGTACCTCATAATGTGGTACATGTGACGGTCTAGGAATGTGAACCAAAAA